CGTGAACCTGGGTCAGTGCGTATTCTGTGGTGACCCGGCGCACGTAATTAAATTTTGTCCAAAGTATAGACAGGCCCGTAGGGCTGCTCAGCAGGCGAAAGGCAGCCGCCAGTAGGGGTCGCAACTGCCCCTACTTCCAGGCCATGTGGAGAAGTGAGCGCGCGCGAACAGGACACTCCCAACCCACATGAGCCTATGGCAGAGGTTGCAAGCCCGTGCCTAGGTAGCTGTCCAGAGACTGCTTGTGTTAGCGTCTCTTTAGGCACATCCCTCACAGGTGTGGCAGAAGAGTTAAAGGAGAGAATGCCAGCCTGGGCCAAAATGAAAAGGGAGAGTAAGGGAAAGGTGATTTTGGTAGACGTAGAGGTGTTCAAGAGTAGAGTAGGGGCCCTTATAGACTCAGGGGCTACCTGTAGTTACATTAGCCGTAGGGCGCTGAAAAAGTTGAGGCTAGGACTAAAGGTCCAAAAGCTAGCAGACCCCATAGTCAGTGTCCTCGCAGACAACCGCACGATGCGCGTTGAGGACTATGTAGAGGGAGTCCAGACATATTTTCGCCTAGAGAAGGATGGGAAGGTGGAGAAAATTCTCCATTTCCTGACTCTCCTCGTGCAGGATGACCTTCCTTTCGATGTAGTGTTAGGAATGGATTGGGGAGAGGCAGCAGGGGCTACACTTCATTTGAGAGAGCACGAGTGTAGGCTCCCTAGTCCGTCAGGCGAGGTTAAGACTGCCCGCTTGTTCCATGTGTCTGGTGTAGATAACACCTTGGCACATTGTTTTCTCAGTGCTCCCTCGTTCGAGCGATTAGTAAAGAAGGAGCAGTTAGAAGACCAGGTCTTTGTAGTTTATGTTAGACCTGTCACCGAGGCCCAGGAAAAGGATAGTTCCACAGATCCAACAATTGCCAAGCTGCTGGAAGAATTCAAAGACTTGACTGAGTCGCCGACAGGAGTAGTGTCGCGACCCATCCAGCATAGGATAGAGATAGAGCCTGACAGCAGAACTCCTAAGGGTGCAGTCTACAGGATGTCCCCTAGAGAAGTAGAGGAGCTTCGCAAGTAGTTAGACGAACTCCTTGAGAAAGGTTGGATCAGGCCCAGTTCGTCTCCTTTTGGAGCACCCGTTTTGTTTGTCCCCAAGAAGGAAGGAGAGTTGAGAATATGTATAGACTATAGGGGTTTGAATGCGATCACCGTGAAGAATGCTGAGCCGCTGCTCAGGATAGACGATCTTTTAGATCGGGTGCAGGGTTGTAAGTATTTCTCTAAGATAGACTTAAAGTCCGGATACCATCAGACAGATGTCCATCCTGATGATCAGTTTAAGACTGCATTCCGGACTATATATGGGCATTATGAGTTTATAGTGATGCCCTTTGGACTRACCAACGCGCCAGCTACTTTTCAGCTTTGCATGAATGACCTGTTTAGACCGTGGTTAGATAAATTTGTGGTAGTCTACTTAGATGATATCCTAGTCTTTAGTAAGACCCTCCAGGAGCACCAGGGTCATCTGAGGCAGGTCTTGGAGAAGCTTAGAGAGGCTAACTTCAAGATCAATGTGAAGAAGTGCGAGTGGGCCAAGACGCATGTGTTGGACGGAGATGGCATTAAGCCAGAGGACAGCAAGATAGCGGCGATTAGAGATTGGTCGACACCCCGCACGTTGACAGAGTTGCGGTTGTTTCTAGGCCTAGCTAACTACTACAGGAAGTTCGTGAGGAACTTCTCCACTATCGCCGCTCCCTTGCGCAGGTTGTTGAAGAAAGAGACAATCTGGCAATGGGATAAAGACTGTACGTCTCCGCTAAAAAAGTTAAAGCGCGCGTTAATAGAATATCTTGTCCTCAAAGTTGCGGATCCGTCCTTGCCATTTGTCGTTACCACGGACGCAAGTCAGTATGGGATAGGCGCCGTGTTGCAGCAAGACGACGGCAATGGCTATAGACCCGTAGAGTTCATGTCAGCGAGGATGCCCTGTGAGAAGGTCGCTACCTCCACGTACGAGAGAGAACTCTACGCTCTCAGGCAGGCTTTAGACCATTGGAAGCATTACCTGCTTGGGAGGCACTTCAAAGTCTATTCGGACCATGAAACGCTTAGATGGCTAAAGACCCAGGCCAAGATGACACCTAAGTTGACTAGGTGGGCCGCAGAGATAGACCAATTCGACTTTGAGCTCAAGCCAGTGAAGGGCAAGTACAATGTAGTGGCGGATGCTCTGAGTAGGAGATCAGACTACTTTGGAGCCGTAGTACATTATCTGGATATAGGGAGAGACCTGCAGGAGAAAGTGAAACAAGCGTATACGCAGGACAATGTAGTGGCGGATGCTCTAAGTAGGAGATCAGACTACTTTGGAGCCGTAGTACATTATCTGGATATAGGGAGAGACCTGCAGGAGAAAGTGAAACAAGCGTATACGCAGGACCCTATCTATAACGACCTCCTAAAGAGAGTTAGAGAGACCCCAGAGACCGAACCAGATTACCGCACTACAGACGGGTTGCTGTTTGAGAAGACTAATGTGTTTGACCGCCTGTGCGTTCCCAACAGCGAAGAGATTCGTAGTCTAATTCTAGGGGAATGTCATGATACTGAGGGACACTTCGGTTGGCAAAAGACGTTAGCCAATCTGATGCGTGCGTACACATGGCCAGGGATGAAGAACGACTGCATAGAGTATGTCCGC